CCTCAAAAACGTTAGGTCCCCAAACCGGAAGAAGGCTTTGTTCAAAAATAGTAGAAATTTGGATTTATGCCTCATTTTGTATGCTCTATCGAATCTGATAGCTAATTTCAAAAACTAAAAATTTGGTGACTTGGTTGGGTGGTGGTCTCATGGACTCTCTCTTAAATGTTATTCTAAACTTGATAGCCGTGGACAATTATTTGTAAATAACTAGTGGACATATTGCTTATATTGAAAGGAAAATGTCCCATGAGCACTCGCGATCAGAAACGCAACATAGATTCTGGTTACCAGATTCATTCTATAATTCGTCTAAGAAGATGTATATTATTTATCTCGGGATAATGAATCTTTGTTTTCTAATATCCCACTACAAAGAATGATGCTTGGTAAAATAATAGTATTAATTAATAAAATTCATCTGATGCTTAGAGTTATACCTTTTATATAGAAGCGCACTACGTGCAGGTAATAGCGATGAAATATGTTTAGCGTGACAATTTTTTGCTTTTTTTATATCGAATGGTAGGAATGAAATAATTTAGCGAACCACCAATTCACGTACTGCATTTTTTATTTATATTATTCACAAATTCGAAAATCCCAAAAACAAATTCCCTAAATTGGAAAATCCCTGAATAAAAATCCCCATTTGGTGACCGGAAAAATGATCTCGTCTGATTATCCACAAATGTGAATTCGATTTAGGGAGTGATTCAGGGAACTACAATTTGTGAAAAATGGGACCCATTCCACAATCCAACGTTAATCATGTGCTAACGATATTTTATGAATAGTTTTTTGAACGGGCATTTCTCCGTAACTCTAACTTTCAATTTTCGAAGTTTTGTTAGTTTTCTTTTCGACATTCTCTTTCAAAATTTTTACTTTCGACACTTGTATTTCGACCAATGTCGAGAGAATCCATCAAGTGATTGGACCGCAAATTGAGATCTCAGCACATTATTGAATTTTTGGTAGACTTTTTCTGTACTATCCGAATTGCTCAGTAAAATCATACTTCGATTTACGATATGAAATATTTCTCACACGACAATTTAAATTAGGCTAACTTGTTGAGGAGTTTTCAAAATTTATACGCATCCAATGCTCGTGATATCGGTTTTTTGAAATATTTGCTCTTTCTTAGATAACATTGACAGTTCAAGAAATTGCTCTTTCGTAAATACGGTGTCCAAAAATTATGAATTTTTTTCAGGAAGCTAATCTAACTGAGAGAGTCAGTTAGGGAAAGTTGCAAGTCAAAATTTGAAAGCATGAATTTGTCGAACAATTCAGGTTCTGAAGGAAACATCCACTAAAACCTCGATGGCATAACCCAATATCAAGTTGGGCACTAATATTTTGGTTGTTATTCTAATCAAGTAGTCCCCTATATAATGGAAACATACGAATTCAAACGTTTGTATCGTCTCGAGAGCTCTTGCCATAGATTTGATTAATTTTTTATTCAGCTATTGAATCTAATAGCCACGATCAAATCCGTTATTGTACACATTGGTAGTCACGACTATCTGTCGAACCAATATAGATTTTCACTCGATATATAACGGCTAGCTTCCGAGAAATCTAAAAAACTCTTTAGATATACGAAAGAATAGAGGAAAAAAGAGAAGCTAGTCGAGTTTGGAATTTCTCATTAAAAGAACCAAGCATAACTCGAGTATTGGCCACGTGAAAAATGAGTCTATTACTTTCGTAAATCCGATCAAAATCGCTATTTTCTTCAATATTGCAGAATAATTCAAATTCATGGTTGACTTTTATTTATGGAAATTCTACAAGCAATGGGAAGCTAGAAACAACACCTTACAAGGACCCATGCTTGCTTTATCCTTCCACGACAAAGAGATGTCATTTCTTGGGGGGATATGTCTGACTCACTCGGGTTTCGAAATAGTTTTTAGAAAAGTAGTAGAAACTCCATGGATGGACTCGTATTGTCAAAATTTACCTGTTTGTTCGCCAATCATATTAAAACCCAGTTTCTTGCGTACCCAAGAGTGTGCACCATCGCAACCGATCACGTACTTTGCATGAATGATTGTTTCTTTCCTATTTTCATTCTCACCAGTTGTCGTACTAGAACTCGTAATCTTGCTCTGCGATTGATCACTGTTAGTGCCGACAGCAGTCGTCAATCCACAGAGTGTTACCTCGATTCTGTAGTCGTTCTGGGCTTGTGTCGCCGGTAAGATCTTCCAGTCGTGCACCGTGGTTGGGCGATCAACAAGTAATCCTCGCATCGACATGGAATCGAGAAAGATGTTCTCAATCGCACCCTGATGAAGTGTCACTTCAAACGGATAACGTGCATTTGGGACTCTCACATTGCGAGAACGATAAGTACGCTTAAGCATTTCGTTTGAATCATGCATCCAGAATGAGTGTTCCCTGTACAATAGAGCTGAAATTTAGTACACAGTGGAGCTCAATTCAATTCCCCCGTTCCGTTTTTCTATTTGTATCGATACACTTCATTTGTTTACTTATATATTCTATATACCGAAAAAATATGGCTTTTGTGGCATCTTATCACATATTAGTTTTGAAAAACAGATCGACTGTACAATGCCAAAAAGGGTACCTAAAAAAGTGACACTTTTATCTTCGAGATTGTGCAGTGCGAGTTACACAAAGGACAAGTGGCCGTAAGGCCATACTTCGCCATCAAAATTTTAGAAAGAACATTACATGGCTTGAATAAACATAAAATTCTACACAAAATTGTGTATTGTTTTTCGGAAAAGCAAAAGAGGATGTTTTGAGTGTGGGTATCGATGTGTTAGCGCAATAATACCCCCCCCCCCACACACACACACCCACACCCCCGTTTTTAGAGGCATCTCTAAAGAAATTTCACTCATCGTTTTTGGACCACATATATTTTAGTCAAGATCTTATTAAAGATCTTTGTACAAGATAATATGATTATCTTGCACCTAAATCTTCAAGATCTGTTCACCTTTCAGTACCTTGTATCTTGGTCAAGATCTTGCTTACAAGATGTTCGACCATGAAAACAAGCAAATTTAAATTGATTAATAGGTAAGAATATGCCAGTGAGAATAGTAGAAATATATTGTAGTCAAATCATTGGTGGTAATGAATTAAAGTGAATGATTCAATCAATAATAGATTAGGATTAATTTGAGAGCATGGAAGTTGAATTCAGAGAAGAAAGTTGGCAACAGATTTCTAGACAGTTTATCGATTACAATCGATTATTTTTTGATTAAAAAATAAGTATAATGACACTATTATAATATGATTATCATCTGATTTCTAATCAAAATAATAATTATAATTGATTAGACAAAATTTAATCAATAATACCCTCGACTGTAAGGAGGATCATATGAAAAAAATGCGTTTGTGTGTATGTCTGTTTGTGGCAGGTTGAAAAAACCTATATATGAGTGCCGTGCCTACGTTTCGCCATTTTGGTTTTTTTTATAGAACTTTGCTATAGGTTATCGATGGCCAGGAGTCTGAATCCGAAGTGAATTTAGTTGGCTGAAATATGGCCAATCAGAAATGAGCTTTTTTATTTTGATGGA